AATTGCCATTATTAGTCTCATAAAGATTCGTACTGTCACCCCTAAAAGCTAAATTTTGGCCAGCTAAATACTGCACAATACAAATCATTCTTTTAATGATTTCACGCCATCGCTGTTTTTCAATTTCATAATATTTTTGTTGCTTTTTATCAATAGTACATTCTTTACTCAAACGCAATTTTAACTCGTGCCATTTTTGAGCGCTTTTCATACGTTCCATGCTATTTTCATGACGAGAAATATTAACAGAAAGGTGCCTCCAGTTAGAGTTACTTATTTATTTTTATTTCATTTAAATAAATAAGTTAACTTATTTTACTTACTTCTAGCAGTTTATTTGCCGCCTTAAACTTACAATTTACAATAAACTTTAATGACAATAATATTGCGAACAGAACATCCTAACCCATAAGAAAAATCTAACGACTGAATTAAAACGTTACGGTTTACTGCGCAAACGACAATTTCGTCAGAGGCCGGCGCATCGCGCATCCTTTCTTAAGACAACCACGCTATCGGCATGCCGGCAACACAAAACGTTAAAAGTGAGCATCGTGCGGCATAAGACGGCGCGTCGTATGCTGACACTAATAAAATTGTAGGGTGGTAATTTAATTAGTAATTTTGGTATTAAAATAGGGAATAGTAAACGGATGAAGTGATTGCTTTAGCACTTACCGTGGAAATACTGAACACTGACTTTTTTGTTTTAGAAGTGAGAATATTTTTTTAATGGTAACCAAATATTTGGCGCCCCTAAAATTTAGCGCCTGCGTGCGGGGCATTCATTGCATACCCGCCAGGAACGGCCCTGTTTGTATTTACACTACATACAACGTTTACCTTTTAATAACATACCGACATAACCTCAATCTTACTTTTTCTTCTTATTCTTTTTTGGGGCTACGTCCTTGACAGTTATCCGGTAACCTCCATTTAACATGAAAGCGCAGTAAATTTTGCTGATTTACGACACCAGATGTCACTCTTCCGAACTTGCACGGTCCTTATAGGGATTATTGGAGTGTAAACAAAGATCTTGATGACTATATGTGTAAATTCATGCCTGTAAATAGATTTGGTTGGCTGCTAAGTCATATTTATCTAAATGATAACAACCTAATGTCGAAAAAAGCTAAGAATGAATATGATCAGCTGTATAAAGTCTGATCTTTCCTCAATGAATTGAAGAATAATTTTCAAAAATATTACAAACCAATGATTAATATAGCCATTGATGAGTCTATAATAAAGTACAAAGGTAGAAGTGTATTGAAACAGTATATGACCAAAAAAACCAATAAAAAGGGTTACATAAAAATGGAAATCTATATAATTTTGATGTTTATACACGCAAAACAGACAACTATGTAGAACACTATTTAGGCGAAAAAGTAGTTGTTTTGAATAACGTTGTGCCCATAACGGTTTCTTAGTATTATTCTAAAGCTATTTTCTTGTGGCGTTTAAAAGTAATTACTATTTAAATGGGAATAAGCCACAATTAAAGATAAAAATACGTTTATTGACGTTTCAATTTCCACTTCGGAAATCGTTCTCAAAATACAAACATACGTTCTCAAACTAATGTTTGTATTTTGAGAACATCTGTATGTGTGGCGTAGGTGGGCGTACTTCTCTCTCGTACAAAAAGCCACTTTTCCCCTTTTACTGTATATATCACAATTCGTTCCTTCAGAAATAAAGATAGATATTATCTAAGTTTTATGGAAACATTAATCCTGCAAAAAGCGGAAATATATTCGTTTTAATGTTCCTTAGAAAGGCGTGCCATATAAGTCTCGGGAGTCTGTAGTGGGTCTGCGAAGGCAAACCGTCGCATCGGAATGTCCATTGGGAACTCTAAAAATGATCGTTAACCCAGATGGTAGTACAGACGGATTTCTGGAATTCCTTTGGAAGAGGAAAGAATAAATAATGGAATTTTGAATATTATTAGCATCGATCGGGGAAAATTGGCACGTTATATCCAGTAATATCTAGTATATCGTTTATACATAATTGAGAATATATTTTTCAAATAATTCCTGATATTTTAGAAAAACTACTAAATGATCCTTTAAGAGGTATTTAAAAAATTGCTTAAAATGAGCAATTTCTTAAATGCTTTCTAAAGTATTATTGAATATTTTTTTTTTATTGAGTTTAATGCGTCGACAACTAATGGTCATTGGCATGGGTACAGTGAATTTTTACAGTCAGGTACCTAGTGTAGTGTGTGTAGGTGTAGAGTAATTGTCTTTATACTTAGCAAAGTCGACGTCATTGTCTTTGCTAAGAGACGCTAATTGTATCCGAACGTATGCGGTCCCTCCGGTGAGTGCCGATCGCACAAGGATAGAAATTATTTTCATTCATTAATTTTTAATAAACGAAAATTTCTCCACCCAGGTGAGATTCGAATTTACAACCTTTACGTTCAAAGGTAGGCGCTCTTACCACTGAGCCACAGAGGAGGTTTTGAATATTTTTATTTTATGTAATTTAAGGACAATGTGTGATAGCTCCTAATTTTTACGCGTTTTATAACTTACTTTCTTTCTCAACGGTGAGTGACTGATGTTCATTCAAAGCGATAAAAAAGAATCTTAATATAAAATTTGTCATTATTTTCGTCATATCTGCACTCAAATTGAAATATATTCCAGAAAGCTTAAAAACTTTCCTAGAAATAAATTACAACTTCTATTCTTTCTAACTTCTATCTCGTTCGGGAGAACTTTTCGCGAGAGACGATGCTAGTGACATTTCTAAACACACGGTAATTCAAAAACGTGCATTACAAAAAGGAATAATATAATGAAGGTGAGATGTTTCGTGGTGAAGCGTCCCAAAAAGGGGGGGATATTTTTAATGCTCCAACTTCAAAAGTCTTTTCTTTTTAAATTATTATTTTAAACTTTTATTTTGGCATCTCGGAATGATAATTAAGGGTCTTAATTAAGGGAACCTTTTAAGTCACGCCGGACACTCTGTAGAATGTTACCTTGTTTTTAAAAAGACAAGGTATTTTTTATAAACAACGACTAAGGTTGAAAATAAAACTTCAGGTTCGTAGTAGAAATAAAACTCAGCCACAGAGCCTGAACAAGAAGCAAAGCCCCTAGAGGCTATGCTCTAGGAGAGCCCGTAAAAGGACTGACTGGCTGACCGACTCATTCTCTCATTGTTTCTTTTTTGTAAGATGGATTGTTTGTCTGGTATTTTGGTGTCCTGTTATAGGTTTTTCACCTCTTCAGGAGGTACTTTGTTTTTTTTTGGGGTGGTGTTTTTTTCTTTCGCTGGCTTTGTGGGATCTACTGGTGGTTTGATTCTTGGACTTGTCGTAGAAGGAGCGTACTGGACATTTAGCGGTGAAATCGGTGTTGGTTAACGCACGAGTGTCTTCTCCTCCCTGGACCTATTGTGCTGTCTATTTTCCCTTGAACGATCAGCTGTAGTACTCTATAATTATTATGTCTCCTAACATGACCCAAGTATTCCAGCTTTATTTTCTTTATACTTAATCCTACCTCTCTCTCTTTACCTATCTGGCGTAGTACATCTTCGTTGGTCACGTGCTCAGTCCAGGATATACGTAATATTCGTCGGTATGCCCACATTTCGAAGGCCTCTATATATAATATATATATATATATATATATATATATATATATATATATATATATATATATATATATATAATATATAATACATAACATTTCAGAAGTCGAATTTTGAGAGGTAGGGTGAGGCTTTTAGAGGTGAAAATTTGCTTCATGCTAGTGAACGAAGCTCTTGCCTTTTCTACTCTTATACGTATTTCCTTCTCTTGATCCCAATTTGAGTTAACTGTTGTCCCCAAGTAGATGTACGAATCCACGTGTTCAATTCTTTCATTGTCTAATATCAGTTGCTGTGGTGGTTGTTGGGTTTTGCTTACATCCATTTGGTTTTTGTGATATTTAGTCTGAGTCCGTATTGTGCACTTGTTTTTTGTATCTTACTCATTAGGCAACTCAGTTCTTTCATGCTACTTGCTAGGATCACAGTGTCATCAGCATACCTTATGTTATTAATTATTTCTCCATTTATGTTTATGCCTGCTGTGCTTTCCTCCAGCGCTGTCTTAAATACTTCTTCTGAGTATATATTAAAGAGAATATTAGACAAGATACAGCCCTGTCGTACCCCTTTCTTGACCTCAATTTTATTGGTCAATGTAGATAGAGACTCGCTATTGTTCGAATGTCTCTGCAGTCGACTCCGATCTTATGGAGAACTTTAATTATCTTTTCGTGCTTTACGTTATCGAATGCTTTTGCGTAGTCTATAATGCATATGTACAGGTCTTTGTTCATATCTCTGCAGCTCTGGATGAGTACCTGTAGACTAAAAAGTGCTTCTCTTGTCCCAAAAGAATTCCGAAACCCAAACTGCGAATCTCCAATGTTATCCTCGCATTTTGTGCTTATTCTGTTGTAAATAACCTTGGTGTATGGAACCTTCAGGAAAGGAATAACCAATATCGAAATTTATTGTGTTGCATTGCTGTATTGTTAAAACAACTGCATAGAAAAACAATTTACGCACGTTCTTATTATAAACAATTTATGCAAATATTTCTGACTAAAAACCTAATCCTTACTACTGATCTCTAGGTATAATCGCTTACAAATAAATTTTAATATGAGGAAAAATCGGTAACTATATTTTAATTTTTAATGTTCATTATTTTGTAAACCTCTTACAGCTATATTTGTCCTTTCAAATCTATTGAGAATTAACAGTTCTTGAAATCCTTTAAATACTATGACGCACTTTTTACTGGGTTACAACAATATCCTTATTTATATCTTAATTCTAAAACAGATGCCTGCATATATAATTTTTAAAATATTTTTCCAAATTTATAAATCGAGAATCATAACAATATATACACTAGACGCCACTGATATACAGTCTAAAAACACCACCTAACCCGTTAACTTTATTTTCAGAGAACTGCCACGGAGCTCAGTACTTCGGAAAACTCATAGGAAAACTTTCCGAATTACACCACGGCGTCTCCGGTGAAGTTTACGCAGTGGATGCGAGGACTTTATACATCAAGGATTTCACTTATGACGGACAAGGACCTGGTAAGATTTTTAAAATTTGCTGTACGTCCTCTCTGAATGTGACGAAAAGTTTGAAGTATGATAAAATTTTTAATATTACATGCAGAATGTTACTGTAGATTATTAAAATGTTAGAGGAAATGTGGAAGTTTTTGGTTAAGTGATAAAAAGTTGTCAGGAGGTTATTTGAGTGTCTAAAGTTGAAAAAAAGATGTGGATGGTTTAAGGATATATAAATTAAGTAACTTATTTTCACAAGTACAAATTTATTCAGAAGTTATTATTGCAAAGATAGACTTCAAATTTTTATTTTATTTACTGTGTTTTCAGAACAAATTCTATATTGACAATTGTTTTTTTAAGTTGTTCTATTTTACTCCGAGCTTTATTGTTAAAAATAAGTTCATTAAAAGAACAATTATATTATATGGTGTATTTGGTTTTACTTTTAAAGCTCAAAAATTAAATATGCATTGTTTTTTTGTAACGGTATTGAAATAAATTTGGAAACTATACAAGGAAAATTTATCCATGATGAACTTTTTTTTGATAAAATACCTCAGCGTAAATGGCCATGAATCAGTCCAGATGGCAGTGTTAATTGTTTGTTATTATATTACAACAAACAGAAAAGGAATTGGAAAGAAGAAAGATGATCCTGAAAACAAGAAAAGAGAAATGGATTCCTCCAGAAATCAACGATCTGTATGAAGATACACTAACCAGACATATACAAGACATAGAGGATGAAATAGAAGATGTAGATCAAGCAAATGATGGCATAACGGAGGTTCTAAAAGAAACGTGTACATGTAATGTACAAAATAAAAAACAAAGGTAAAAACATTGTTACTGATAGAACCAAAATCCTTAAGGTTATCGAATCCTTTTATGGCGAAATGTATGTGAGCACCGACGAAAGGCAAGATCAGCCCCTGTCCAAAATAAAAACAAAAACAGGGATCAGAATTATTGCCGGAAGTAACTTAATACGAAATCAAAACGGCATTTTTAAAAATCAAAAATAAATCCTCTGGCTATGACGGAGTAGTGATCGAAGCGATTAAACTAATTGAAAATAAAATTATCCAGACTTTGGCCAAGCTTTTCCTTGAATGCATCTACCAAGGAAAAAGTCCTTCTTAATGGAATAATGCAGTCAATATTTTATTATTTAAGCAAGGTATATTCACGATGCTTTTAGATCATATTTGTAAAAACGCACATCTGAATGAGCGTGGTATCAAATAAATACAAAGAATCTCAGTCATTTGAGATTTGCAGATGATATCGTCCTTATAGCCAATCGTATGGATACTGCAAAAAAAAATGGAAGATCGTAGAATGCTGAGAAGTCAAAGAAATGTTGACTCACAAGATATAAACATAAAGAGCATCAATAAAGAAATATCTAAAGCCATCAGACGGGATATTGGAAAACACAACAATGAGAAAATTATAAAAACTATAGAAGACAACAAAAGCATGAAAGCATTAAGGAGAAAAATGGATAATGGCAAAAAAGAAATCTTCCAACTTAAAGACAAAAATGGAAATATTATCTCAGATAGACCAAGCATATTACATATAGTGGAAAGTTTCTATGAAACATTATATAAAAGTCAAGTTATTCCAGAGCTCATCAAACAACCAATACAAAAGGTACATAATGTAGGATCGGAGGATATACCAGATATATCACGAGAGGAAATTCAACATGCCCTCAAAAATATGAAAAATAATAGAGCTTCGGGGAAAGATGGTGTAGTCATTGAGACAATTAAACTAGGAGGTCCACTTTTGATGTCGCGAATCCAAACACTTTTTAATCTATATCTGCATAGTGAAAACATTACAAGTAAATGGAAGAATTCGGTTACGATCCTCCTTCACAAAAAAGGGGATAAATTAGATCTCGAAAACTATAAGCCAATCAGTTTGCTTAACCACCTATACAAGCTCTTTACTCGAATACTGACAAACAGATTAAAAGCAAAACTCGATTTCTATCAATCAGAAGAACAAGCAGAATTTCGAGCGGGACACTGAACAAACGACCATTTGCAATGCCTGAAAACTCTAGTTGAAAAGTCAATCGAATATAACAGACCCCTTGCTCTTATCTTTGTAGACTTCCACAAAGCATTTGATACAGTCGAAATAGTTGCTATCTTAAAAGCACTATCAGAATGCAGAATAGATCACAGGTATGCAAATATTATTCGAAATATATACGAAAATGCGACAACCGTTAACCTCCATTGCATGACTGAGAAGATAAAAATTGGCAGAGGGGTGCGGCAGGGAGATACGTTGTAGCCAAAACTATTTATAACAGTTATGGAGTACGCATTTAAACGGCTAGAGTGGTAATCAAAGGGTATTAGCATCGATGGAAAGATATTCAATCATCTCAGATATGCCGATGATATTGTTCTCATAACACACAACTTAAGAGAAGCCAGAGTTATGCTACAACAACTACAGCAAGTAACCCAGAAAGTCAATTTAAAGATAAACTATGGAAAAACAAAAATGATGACCAACCTCGTCTCCAATGAGCTAATAGAAATCGAAAAGTCGAATAGAATTTGTGGAAAAATATGTGTATTTGGGTCACGAAATAAGGTTAACGCGAGATAACCAAACATGCGAGCTTCTCAAAAGAATAAGTCTGGGTTGGGCTGCATTCGGAAAAATGAGAGACGTTTCTAAAACAAATATACCGATCCATTTAAAAAGAAAAGCTTTTAACCAGTGCGTTCTACCAGTCCTCACATACGGAGCAGAAACCTTAAATCTCACAAAAACATCAGCCAAAAATTGAGAAGGACACAACGGAAGATAGAGAGATCAATGCTTGGAATAAGCTTAAAAGATAGAATAAGAAACGAGGAAGTCCGTAGACGAACCGGAGTGGAAGACATTATCGAACATATTACAAGGCAAAAATGGAGATGGGCAGGACATGTTGCAAGAATGAAAGACGACAGTTGGACAAAAAAATTGCTTGAGTGAAGACCACGGGCTGACAAGCGAAGCCGAGGAAGACCCCCAACGCGATGGACCGACGACCTTAAAAGAATCGTGACCAATTGGATAGCAGAGGCGCAGAACAGAAGCAGATGAAAAAATCTAGAGGAGGCCTATGTTCAACAATGGACAACTCAGGGCTGATTGATGATAATGATGATGGATACTACAATAATAATGTTGTGAAATGATGTGTGTGAAAAATTATATCAGGCTGTCTTGAAGGTCAGAGTAAAAATTAATATGAACAAGACGTAAATAATGACTAATCTGGTGCTAAATCGAAATAACTCTGTTGATGGAAGGGGTATGTGCAGATTATTGACAAATTGATTTTAGAGAACTCTAACAATATTGTCTTGACCTTTGGGTCTTTTAGTTTCTAGTCATTTTCTGCTTTTTTTCGGTACAATAATTCTATCTCCACTATTATTTGATTATGCCGATATGCAAGTGATATCTTTGATTTTGTGTTATATGATGTTATATCTTACATGGTGTACCCTTCGGTTTATTCTTATTTTTTCTTGCCATATATCAAAACATATGTAGCAGCCCTAATAAATAAGCTGTTGAAAATTTGTGAAATATTATCCAAAATATTATTCTATATAATAAGAGAATTCTCTATCGGAACAGTAGACACTTCTAATAACTTTATACAGAACCTGAGACTAACCAATCGTACAATAAAATGTATTTGATTGATTTACGCGCCAAGTAGAAAGCCTGAGAGGCATTTTTATGGTAAAATTGTCAATAAATTACCTTTTCTTCTCTTTTCGTACTCACTAAAAGGAATTTGGGCGAAAGAAAAAAATGCTAATGGCGTGAAAAATTCTGAGAGACATTTGGGGGTTAAATTGGGGTGAAAATAAGTTATACACGTGGAAAAAAGCTTTGACTGACGGCTTATAAATTATGGAGAGGGTTTCGTCTCAGGAGGATTATGTAATTTTGAATTGTTTATTACTTGTTCTGTAAGTTGGTAAACAAGTAAATAATTTGGTTTCGGCTCTCAATGTAATAAGTAAGGTACACTAAAAAAAACTGCTTAAACAGTATTATGATCTATTGGTAATGTGTGTTTGATCGTCTAATGAAAATTATCAGACATACATGGCTTAAAGACTACTCCACGAAAATAGTTTATTTTTGAGATTTTAAAATAATTCCGATGGCAAGCTTTTAGCTAAAAAATACCTGTAGAAAGAAAACTTACATATTTTCTGCGCAGGATTTGTTGTTGTTATTTAGTTATTAAGAGACATGGAAGCTTTTTGGATTAGGTAATAGAAATCAAAGAGGGAATAGGTTGATATAATTCTGACAAGATAATAATATGATTGTTACAAACACGTTCTTTGAATTACCTAATAGACGTTTGTATACGTGGAAATCAAATAAAGATATCGAAATAGTAATACTGTAGTCAAAACCCAACCTGGAGCAGATATAGCATCTAACCATAATATCTTAGTAGCACATACGAAAATTAAAATAAAAAGAATAGAGAAGACAGTAAATGAAGAAAGAACTGATATAAATGCACTAAAAGATCCAAAAATTAGAGAAGATATCAAAGAAAAAATAAATGAACGTCTAAACACCGTACAGATTGAAGGGGAATTCAATGAAGAAAACATCAACAAAAACTGGGAAAAAATAAAGGCTGACTTAATAGAACCTTCAAAAAAGTATTTACGCAAAACCAAAGAAAAGAAAAAAGATTGGATGATGGACGAAATACTAAACTTAAGATAAACAAAAGAAGAGTACATAAGGACCATTGTACCAGTAAACACAAAACGAAATACGGCGGCAAATTCGTATAGCTAAAGAAAATTAGTTAAAAGAAAAATGTGATAAAATAGAAATGCTACACAAAATAAACATGACAGTTTTAATTTACACAGGAAAATAAAAGAATTTATAATTATTTAATATATATAATAAAGGTTAATGAAAAGGGAGAGACAATAATAGAT